CTTAATATTTGCGACGAGGGGTTGGCTTCTTGGGGGGCTTATATGAGGTGGAAGGAGCTGAAACACGGCGCTCCGGTTCCTCTTTAGGTGGATGAGTGCGTATGTATTCGAGCGCTCTGAGAATGGCCTCTGGAATTGGTGGCGGGGTTGGCAGAAGATCACTCTTTGGCTGATAGCCGTTCTCGTCGGCAATGTAGGAGATTTGCACATGTTCACCTTCAGGTGAGACCCATTGGAAATCGCCATGTACATTGCCGCTCGCATCACCCGACTGTGCAGATTGAATACCATTGCTGGTCTCCAGTGCGTACTCGAAGCCATCTGAACGCACATCGGAGTGCATGGCCTTTATTTCTGCGTGGGCTTCATCGCCACTTGAATGCGAGCTCCTGCTGCTGATRCCGGCAGATCGACCACCAGTGGTAAGGCTGTGGAAAGGACGTCTCGGAATTGCGGCTACACTGAGCCCGACGGCAACAAAGAAGATAAGCTACAATTGCATGAAAGTAAGAGTTGATTCCAGGTCAGACGAAAATAAATGAGGGCAATGTTCATATGCCGTTTGAAATACTTACATATTTGAACATTTTTGTAATTAGTTCCAGGTAATCGCTTGTCGGAATCCAACAAATTAATGCGCTGTGGTCACACACGCTTTGGTATTTATACCGTGAGATAGTTTCGTTTTGTGCCGAAGTTCGACAATTTATTTGCATAACCTCTCTGTTTGGAAACAGCCAACAGATTTATTGGCGTCCCAACTGTAAGTCTTGTCATCGCCAAAAAATGAAATAATATTTCTATAGCTAACAAACTACTTTTCGGCGCAGCCGTGCGCTGCTCGCGTCGCTTCTGTGCAACAAAAGATGCCCAGTTAACCTCACATGTAGTTCAGTAGGTAAGCTGTGTGACGAGTTTCGCTCTATTTTGGCAATAAATCTGACCCAAAGCCAGTATACCGCACCCACAACCTAAACCAGCGTTTCAAATTTATTGCTTTTGCTTGGTACGGTTATATGGGTGCAACAAGTAAAGAAGATCAGGCAAACGATGTTACAAAAGTTTTTGAATTGTGTATCTTCAAACCATATATGAGAATCATTCACAAATGAAAATGAAAGGTGTGAAATATAGAATAATGAACAAATAATTACCGTTRCTTTTGATATATTTAAGTAACACATGAGCACATCAACTTTTAAGAAATAACCAGTTCTGATATTTTCTTCGAAATTACTTTGAAGAGATTTGACATTTATGTTTTATTTGCCAGAAGCAATGCTTGACTGAAATTGAAATGCAAATTGCTGTCACTCACAAATTCAACATTAATTGGTTGATTTTGTAGATTAACTCCACTCACATGTGCTAATTTCCATAATCCATGAACAAAGCAGCTAATCTAGCCGTCTACGTTATGGAATCGAAGATGTTGAACACATGTCGGAGACACTGTACGTCTGTCTGTCAGTAAGTCATGCGCTTTTGTCATCTTTCAACAAGTTTCAGTTATGCAAACTATCTATGATCTCAATGTCATAAAAAAGCAGTATATTTTAGTATCCACACCTGTGTTCCTCGAATATTCCACTATTCAAGCCAAAAGGTCAATTGAAAAGTTCCCGCCTAACAAAAGGTTTCAAGATCGGAGAACACTCTGGCAGAACCCCCAGAGGTGATCTTGGAACATGCCCATGAAAAGAGAATCGACACACACCACGTCTTTGTCAATTTCAAAGCTGCTTTTGGCAGCACGAAAAGGATATCATTGGCCTCAACACCCTAACACTCTATAAGTCACTCATTATTTCCGTYYTGCTATATAGTGCAGAGGCATGGATGATGACAAATCTGATGAGGCGACGTTACAAGATTTCGAGGGCAAGATTGTGCGAAAGATATGTGGTCCTTAGCGCATTAGCAACGGCGAATATCGCATTCGATGGAACGTTGARCTRTATAAGATATACGACGCCATTGACATTTCGGMGCAGAACCTGCCGGCGGAAGCAGAGGAAGAGAAAGACCTCAACTCCATTGAAAAGACCAGGTGGAGAAGAACTTGGCTGCACTTGAAATATCCAATTGATGCCAAACAGCAAAAAGAAGGAGCAACTGGCGTGCTGTTGAAAACTCGGCTATAACCGATTAAGCGRTGTCAACGCCAATAAAGAATAAGAAGTGTTAAGCAAACTGCACGTTTTCGTTTTTAATTATTCATTTCTACCATCGGTCACCAAGTCGTAAAGAAACCATAAATTTCGATATGATTTGCRCAAGATTAGATGACAAAGTGGTAGTTGACTAATTTAGAACAACTGGAAAGTGGTCACAACCAAACAAACAACGCAGAAAATATTAAAATGAATATGGTTATTGTGCAACGTTCGACAAATTTGTTATTTTGTGTATAAACAACAWATATACGTAAGAAATGAAATAAAATGAAATGTAAGAGTCTTGCCAATTAGGCGAATTGAACCAGTTACCGGTGCATTTTGGCGACAAACAATTCATAACTGAGACGCTCTTACAATTAGAACAAGTTTTGCTGGATTTCATCAGCGGCGTGATTGCAGAAGCACAGTTAAAGCAACGGSATTAAAACGCAATCACATACACACAGACATCCACATAGATGCAGGGGAGTGAATTCGCTCACAACAGATTCCCGATTTTATGGAAATGAAGCTGGCATAACACCGAACCGCATCTGGTCTTATAAAAGCGCCACCAAATTTGGCAAACAGCATCAGAAACAATCGAGTGTTCTAGTCCAATCCCCACAAATTTGCAAAATGTTCAAATACGTAAGTAGCCACTTAACTTAGTGGTGGCGTTGCAAACAGGATGTACTTATTTGTGACAAAATAAATAATTCGAGTTTCTTTATTTCCATTAGGTACTACTCTTCACTTTGGTTGCTTACGTCTCGGCCGCCGCTGTCAGCAGTTCCGATGATGCTCATGCCGAAGTCAGTCTACAGAAGTCCGATGTTCGATTCAATGGCTTTGACACCGAATTGGAGACCAGCAACAGCATTCACGTCGTGCAACACGGTGATGAAAAGGGCAACATCAACGGCGAATACGGTTGGATATCACCCGAAGGCGAACACGTCATTATAAACTAYGTTGCCGACGAGAGCGGTTACCACCCACAGAGCGAGCTCTTGCCCACAGCTCCCCCAGTACCAGAGGCCATCGTCAAGGCACTCGAGTACATCGCATCTCACCCCTCAAAGGAAGGAGTCCAGAAGAACTAAATTTGTAAACTTTGACATTGTTACGCATTGATTAGGAAAGAATGTGACCGATTTTCTCTCGTGCAAGAATAAGATTTTATTATTATAGTATAAATGCAAATAAAATACTCAATTTTATTGGTAATATGAATGTGTTATTTTCTATTTACTCATATTAATAAAAGATTCTCAGATTATATAGTAAACTTTAACTATGATATACTTATTATTGAAATAAATTGATCTCAAGCGACAGCTGATCCTAGGAAAAGGAGAATCTATGTCTCGTAGCCTCCGCTTGTAAGTCATTGAGTMAACTCAGGGCATTGTTAGTCAACGAAGACGCCGATTTTMMTCTCGCTGTCGAAATTAATTAAAAACGAAATGAACTGTCAAACAGCCATAATTATAGTAAACAAATGTTTACCCTCATTTTGCTCTTGACATTTTTCTTTCATAGCACACCAAGGAGAGTAACGGGGCGAAATTATCATAATCTTTCTTACCATCTTTTGCGATTTGCTGATAAGAAGATTAAAATTCTTATTTCTAGGCTATCAACAACCTACGATGTGTATACTGGTTCCTAGACATACTTGCACATATGTGCTAGTTACCTTTTGCGAAGTTACTGTGTAGAAATTAACTTTTTGGACCAATTGCTCATTACCATAATTATACCAAAGTGTGGTCAGTGTTGTCTGATACGTTGGTTGCCTTCGGTATTGCGACTTTCGAGAGCAACAACAAATTTTAATCCGCTTAAATCTTAAACCGCTTTATTGTTTTTGAAAGTATTCTTCATTAAGATCTATACACTTACTTATCTCCAAAACATGCGTTCAGAGCCTTTTGTTGGATCCGGCTTGAAATACCCATACAGTCGACAGCTGTTTAATTACGATCTCATATGCGTAAATCTACGATTCATCACCATCACACACCAGCTGTGTTTTGAAGCACAGCTGTCGATTTTGTTAACATTCGTCTTGACCAATCGACATGAGCCTTTCATTGAGCGTTTGACAAATTGTGTGAGATCCAACGTGGGCAAATTTTTTTACGGTTAAATGTTCTTGCAATATTGAATGTATGTTACCATCCCCCCCATGTCCAAAGTTATCTCTATCTCTCGATAGATCACAAGTTGATTTTGCAATAGTGTTGCCAAATCCTGAAGTATATTATGTTGTCAAATATCTCCCTTATGCTTTTTTGCTCTTTATTCAAAGCTTTATAAAAAGTGTTACAGTGATCGGATTTAGTTCAAATATACGCTATTTCGTTCCATAATCTGTTTCCATCTAGACGGCAACTTCATTATATCTTCCTCGTAGAAGCCTCCTTCCTTATTTGCGAAGACCACATTTCACAAGTGTCTTTTGATTTCAACTTTACACCAACAAGGGCGTTCKCCATTAACACAAGCAGGTAGTAATCTCTTGGCCCTATGTACGGGCTATATGGTGGATGCGATAAAACCAACCATCCGAGCTCCCGTAGCTTCTTCCCACCAAACACATAGCAAAACCTTCTTGGCCGTCAATCCTGGCTTGACCACTATTTGGGACGATTCACTAGCTTTCGACCACGACCGTTTKCGCTTGATATTGTCATATGTGATCCATTTTTCCTCGCYAGTCACCATCCGCTTSAAAAAKGGATCGAGTTCGTTCCGTTSGAAGGCGTTGATTCGGTGCAGAAGGTTTTTTTTCGTCACATCATGCGGCACAAAAACATAAGCTCTTTTGTGTAACCAGCCTTCTGCAGATGATTTAAAATGGTTAGGTGAACAAGTCCCACCTTCTAGGCGATGTCACGACATGCTACATGCCGGTCTAACTCAATGTTTTCCATGATTTGATCGGTATTCGTCGTCACAGGTCTTCCGCTGGCTGGCTTATCCATGGTGCCATTTTCAGCCACTCTGAAAACCATTCCTCCTCACGGAACGGTTCTCTAGAATATTTACTTTTAACGAAGGAAAACTTTAAAATTACGGCGTTAGTAAATTCCATGTTTACACGTCTGATAACTGTTGAACGCAATATCCAAACAAATAATGCATAGCGTCGTTTTGTRGGCCATGTCAAGTCCTTTACAAGATGTATATTATTGCCAGATACGAGCTCTGTAGTGCTTTATACAAAGCCGCGARATTCAAAAGACAAAAAGGCGGAAGGGAAATATTTGACAACATAATATAAGGCGGCATACGTGCCTGCTTTAGTATAAAATATCTTGAAGAAATTCTTCTTGTTTATGATTGAGCCGGTGGTGACCCTAAATGTCAAATTTGGAAAGGTTTCACATTTAGAACGCTATGAATACAAATTCAATAAATGGAGCTCGATTTTCAGACCGGATCATCAAATCCTTAGAACCGTCAAAAAACTTTGATGTTTTCGAGACACCAGCATCAAACCGTGAACTTAACCTCTCATTAATAAAATATTTTTTGGCTGAAATCCCACATGTGTAGGTGTTAGAATATTGAAAATGTTTAAAGAATTTAATTGAAGGACAGTCCGGACAATGAACCATAACTTTCACATTCTCTCCTTCCCTTCATCTAGTGATAAATAACATAACCTGCTTTGCAACAAAAAAATAYGGTGGCTCTATCGCTTAAGCGCAATTAAATTGTTATGCATCTYGTCTTGAATAGGCAAGCAAATGTAAAAAGTCTATTGGCATTCTCGAACGGAATTATCTTAAACAATTCATGGCTCAGTTCATTCGACAATTAGAACAAGTTTGGCTGGATTTTGGAGGCCGTTGAATTTGCATTCGACAAAGATTTAGAAAGAAATTTGGTAAAATCAACGGGATTTAGAAAGAATTGCAGTTGCCATTAACACACACACACACACATTCCCGGTTTTATGATCGTCAAAACGGCTTCGAATCTGGCAGCAAATTGGATTATAAAAGCGCTACCAAATTAAGCAAACAGYATCAGAAGMAATCAAGTCTTCCATTATCATAGATATCACTGCCAACAAATCGATAGAAATGTTCAAATACGTGAGTTGACCAAACTTCAGTGAACTTCAGTGCTTGAATTTCGCCTTTCACGGTGCTGATAATTTACTAAACATCTTCCTTTTGTTTTAGGTGCTACTCGTTGCTTTCATCGCTTATGCCTCGGCCGCTGCTGTCAGCAGTTCCGATGATGCTCATGCCGAAGTCAGTCTACAGAAGTCCGAAGTTCGCGTCAATGGCTTTGACACCGAATTGGAGACCAGCAACAGCATTCACGTCGTGCAACACGGTGATGAAAAGGGCAACATCAACGGCGAATACGGTTGGATATCACCCGAAGGCGAACACGTCATTATAAACTACGTTGCCGACGAGAGCGGTTACCACCCACAGAGCGAGCTCTTGCCCGTCGCACCCCCAGTACCAGAGGCCATCGTCAAGGCACTCGAGTACATCGCATCTCACCCCTCAAAGGCTGTCTCTTATACACATCTAGATGTGTATAAGAGACAGGCATTCACGTCGTGCAACACGGTGATGAAAAGGGCAACATCAACGGCGAATACGGTTGGATATCACCCGAAGGCGAACACGTCATTATAAACTACGTTGCCGACGAGAGCGGTTACCACCCACAGAGCGAGCTCTTGCCCGTCGCACCCCCAGTACCAGAGGCCATCGTCAAGGCACTCGAGTACATCGCATCTCACCCCTCAAAGGAAAGCACGAACTAAGCGAATTAGAATGGACAAATGTGATACGTAACGGTTTTGGAACGATGATATTGTTTTTGAACTGCAACTGGAACTTATAGCTGGAAATTATGGTTCTCATTATGCTATATGAATAGTGGGAAACGTGGTTTCGACGACACTCTTGATGTTGGTCGAGCTTTTGCTCTTACATATTGCCGACTTTTTCATTTTATATTTTAAATTTTTTATTTTGTAAATATGTGTGTGTTAAATGCAAATAAAATACTCCAGCAAACTGGTAAACGAAGCTTTTACTCTTTATAACATAGCCTTGGACGCATTGGAACGGATAACACAATATCGGTTATTTTACCGGTTAGTATTGCAGCTATCATGGGCAACTAGCAAAAGCAAGGCTATTGATGATATTGCGAATATAAAACTTTATAGTTTTCTAAAGCTAGCTATAAATAAATTTTTTAAAGTTGTGCTCAATGACGTCTAGTACAGCAATTACTAGCGATTCTGTTAGTAAATAGCCAGAGCTAGGTTGCTCTGTTTACTTAATTAAGCAGCAATCAATTTAATAATTAGMTATAATTAAAGTTTCGCTGTTGCTGTTGTTTATAAGCATAACACTCAGATCTGATCGTCAAGGGCTGGCAGTGCGGCTAATAGCTTTTATTAGAATATTTCTAGCTGTCAATAACAGTAATCGCCTACAAACTAGTAATTTAGCATATTTGAGTGACAGGTTTCATTTGGTTAAATATGTATATATAAATATATCAATAACTGTAACTATGACTAAAGACTATAACAATAATCTTTAGTCATATTATAAATGAAAATATGGACTTTCTCAAAGCATTAGCAGTCATATTATCAGGGCTTCTCTGTCTTATGTCGGTATGTAGCCGGTTTATCGCACCGTTATAATTACCGTAGACTAATCATAAGTGTCGCTCTACACACTGCCACAGCAATATGAGCATATCCGACAAGCAATTCTCTAATTGACATTAAATACAAAAATTTAAAATAKAAATATTAAAAAGACATGTTTCGAGCCATTGAATCATAGCGTGTCGCGCTAACAACAACGGGGCAATGAGATGCACGCTAAGCAGGGTATATTAAGTTTGCCACGAAGTTTGTAACAACCACTAACAAACATCGGAGACTGACGACCTGAGCCGGTTTAGTCATGTCATCTCTCTGATTATACATGCGCGCAGTAGTCGCTCAGTTTTTGAGATATCATTCTGAAAAATAAAAAATTTTTTTTAATCTAACATAAGCTGCTCACGTGTCGGAACCGTTGTAGCGGACCACTATAGCATATAGCTGCCATACAAACTGAACGATCGGACTCTGATGCTTGTATGAAAAACTTTTTAATTTGAAGAGATATCTTCAAGAAATTTGGTATGGTCTATTATCCAAGACAACTATGCATTCTCTGGAGAAATTGCTTAGATCGGACTACTATAGCATATAGTTGCCCTACAAACTGAACGAGGGGATTAAAGATCTTGCATGGAAAACTTTTTCAATTGACGACATATCTCCAGGAAATTCGGTATGGCTTATTGCCCAAGCCAACRATACATCTCTGTAAATTTTTTTCAGATCGGATCACTATAGCATRTAGCTGCCATACAAACTGACGATCAATTTTTTTTTCGAATGGAAAACTCTTTTATTCCTAAAGATATCTTTACAAAATTTAGCACGGGTTATTGTCTAATAATATACTATAATCTTCGAACATATTGTTCAGATTGTAYCACCATAGCATATAGCRGCCATACAAACTGAACCATCAAATTCAAAACAAAAATCTGTTTACACGCTTTWATGMTATAAGAAATGCACATGTATAGCGTATTGCAGCTTCGGCGTAGTTAAAGTTTTGTTGTAATTTTAGTAATTTAATAACTCGGTATATTCTAAAAAGCTTTGCAATCGCAGCGCTAGCATTACAGTGTGTGTGTGTGTAAAGCTTGTAGGTAAGCATGTAAGTGAGAAAGTATGTGCTCATACTTTGAACATATCAGCATTAATCAGCTACAACGACTATTTGTTTATATTTTTTACAAACTTGTACGAAAAAATTCCAGCATCAAGCCATAATAACATACATGTATACATATCATGTAGTAGATCGTTTGCCATATTTGTCGCTGCATGAAACCGCAAACTTTATACGTTGTATCTGTGTTTGTGCGCATGTGTTCGCAGGTAGTTGTATATACGAAAGCTAYATAACTACCGTTTTTCATCACTTCGCTTAATTCACTTTCTGTCGCGAAAATCAAATTTGTTGTTTTTGCAGATAATTTATCTGGCAATGATCTTGAATCGCATCAAATTAATTAACGAAAGTGAGTCGAGCTGGTTAGCCGCGATATTATTATATACTCATATACATATGTATATATATGTATGTGGCACAGCRTACCAATTTGTTGTTGTTCACTTTAAACTAAATTATAGCCTTTGCATTTCATTCAGTTATGCCTCTCGATTTAGGTGAAGCTAAATGGCAGCGGATTAATAGCATGATTTTAGTAGTTTGACAGTTTTTATAACATTTTTTTTCTATAAAACCGAATATAATTTATTTTAGCTAAACAATGTTGTAAGATATTAAGAAAATCAAAAAAAAAAAATTAGTTTATAATCGTTGGTGGAAAATTATTTTAGTTTCATAGTCATAATTTTAATTGCAGCATGTTTAGAAAATCTGAGTTTTCAAGCGTTATCAAATTTTTTTTATTTATGGCCCCTAAACTGACAAACGCAAAGGTTTTCGACATTTTTTATATTTYATTCTTAATATATCTCTGCATTTGTCGCAGTTCGGCTCAGCATCCATCAGAGTAGTTAGTTATAATTTCATCAGTATTCGGCTCCGACATATTTATAACGCATTAGAAAAGTTATCTTTGTTTACGCTTTTAATTATAAATATTATTATATAATTATATATGAAGTGGCGCTTGCCAATTAGCAGCCGAAAATCCGCTGACATAGCAACAGTACCACACACACATATGTACATACAAACGTACTTTTTTATACGTTCGTAGGGGATTCGTGGTATAACCACTTTCCTAATAACTAAATATGTTCGTTTTAATCTGTTGCAGCAAAATTTTAATGATTTTCCGCCRCGCTCCCACACGCAGATTTTGGAGTTTTGTGTTGAAAATGGCAGACAGTGGCGTATATGCAAACGAAACCATTGTACACTTTGCATGCAATTAGGGTTTGGAAAATATAATTATTCCTTAAAAAGGAACTTCGAAAACTATTTTCGAAAATTTTTCTTTTCCAGAAAATCTCTTCAAACAAATGAATACGAASGAATATAATGAACAAGCACTTTTTCGAGGTATTTGGCCTCTAATCGATGTATTCGGTAGTCGAAAAAGTCTTTACGTGTTTCTAATCAATCTTCAGCTTTTTTTTCATATTTATAATATTAAATAAATAAACAAATATGTACCATTTTGGTCGACCACTTTTTGGCATWTTTCTGCTAGAGACATTCTTCCATCAGTGCAAAACTTTCATCAGTATAAAACGAAATTTCGAAATTTCCAGAACGGAAGCGAGCGAACCATTGTTGTGCTAMACGAACTGATAGAGCAGCCATCGTCTCTGCAAACTTCACAAATTTCRTTGGTGGCTAGCCTGTCATTTTTCCCTTTTGATACGAAATTTCAAAATTAAGCGTATATCTTTATTATTTTCACTCGTTTTTCAACAGCTGTAAACTTGTTTCAACTTCTCCGAATTTTTTTTTTTCTGGTTAAATGAAGCTTAAAATCTCATCTTTCCAACGCTATATGGTATGACACAATGTGATTGGTAGCACCAAAATACGAAAAGACTTTTTCGACTACCTAACATATCAGCACATAAAGCCAGAAAAATGTGATAAAAAATATTTGAAGTTTAGAAACCAAGAATCATCAAATCGTGTCACGAAAATTCAAGTTCTTTAGCTGCTGTGATTTTATTTTTACTACCCATGAACATCACATACTTTTTCGGCGTAGCTGTGCTCACTACCAAATAGTTATTATTGCAGCGAACTCACTTTTTGGCCGCATACTCTCTTCGCAGACAATTTATGCAGCTGACTGCTTAATAAGAAACAAATTTAGACATTTATTTCTGTCAACATTCGTGCTAACAGCAGTTTGTCACAGGTTTGGTTATGCTGTTGTCGTTTTTTTTATTTTTTATTTTTTTTTTAATTTTGCTTTCTTATTGTTCCAGCGTTCTTCAGCTTTTCTATTGTATGCGAGTTCATTGTTGTTTTTATGGCAACTACAATTTATATAAGAATCAAGCAGATACTTGTGGCAGATTATAATCAAAAATATTTAGAAAAAATCAAGAAATAGAAAAAGAAAATTAATTTTATGCGAAAAATTTTTCTCACTCTTAATTTTCAATAATTGGYGATATTTTCGAAAACCAAAATAGTTTTGACTATATAAAGCTGTCAAAGCCAATACTTGTCTTCAAATTATTTAGTAGTCTAAATAATATCGCGTACTTGAGCAACCGCACCTTAAATGATTTATTAATTGCCTAACTGAATCAGCTCTTTAAGCTCGTTAAGGTATTTTCTTCGCTGCAAGCAACCTACCTTCAGGTCTTAGTCCGATCTGCGGCACATTTCCGAATATCCAATATACAAAAGGACCCGGGATTCTTTTCAGTAAATGCCAGCCAGTCTTGTACTGCACATAGGACCAATAAGCGTAAACGCCAACAATGATCAGGGGAAACAGCAACAACGTCAACATAYTCGTGCCGTTTTGCAGCAAATCGGCGTAAATGAGTTGTTTTAGTACCGAAGCACTTTTTTCAGAAAGTCCAATAAACACAAATTCTGTACTGTCGCCGCAGCGCTTAGCTTTTAAGCACCGTTTTCGCCGTTACAAAACSTCTCAGAACCGACTTATGTTGCGTGCACCGCAAAACTGTTGCGCTAGTCGAGTTGAAATTAATAAAAATATCATTCGATTTCCATTGAACTTTTCCTGTTCAATTGCCATTTTCTGCTATTTAATAACGCTCTTTCTTACTAGTACAAGTCAAATGCATGTTGTTGTAATTGTGTGTAAGTAATTCTCAATCTGCTTTATTGAGTACTGAAGTACTAAGCTCCTCCATGTTGATAATTATACACTATTATCTCATTAGACTTGTAGGTCTCACCGATTAGAAGCTGTGTTGCTCCGTTGGACATAATCACGCACGCACACTAACACACCTAAGTGGTTAGCAATTAAAAATAAACACGCAAATCAACATTTTTTTTATCAAGCAGCGCTATTAATTGTGTGTTTGAAGTGATTAAAATGGCTACTGAGGTCTCCATAAGCACTGTGAAAGTGTTAAAAAAGATGACCTAAAGTTGGCGGGTACTTCAATACGTTCTATAAATGATATCGTCAATTTCGTTAAAACCCGATTGTCAGAGATGGTTAGGGAGGAATTACCAGTGTCTGGTTAAAAAGCTGGCACTTAAAACAAACTAGAAAACACCCTTCTCAACTACAAAGACTCCTAATAAGAACTTTGTTGGTTCAGTTTGTATGGCAGCTATATGCTATAGTTATCCGATCCGAAAAATTTCCTCATAGATTGCACTATTTCCTTAGTAAATAATCTGTGCCAAATTTTGTGAGAATATCTCGCCAAATGAAGAAGCTTTCCATACAAGCACTGAGTTCCGATTGTTCAGTTTGTATGACCGCTATATGTCATAGTGCACCGAACAAGACTTAATCGACTCAGCTCGTCATGTTGATAATTTATATATATTTTGTTTAGGGTCTCCGATGCTTTCTTCTTACAAACTTCGTGCCAAACTTAATACACCCGGTTTGTGGTATAGCTATGTATATATATTTTAGTTCCTCATTGATCATTGGTACAAGGCTATACAGCTGCTAATCCATTTTAATGATGGTAATAGCAATTTTAGTCGAAATTAAATCTAAACTTCCGCTTCACACACACATGCAATACAATACAAACACACACACTTGCACACAAGCATCTTTGGAATCGCTGGAGCAACGCAATATTTGCAATGTAAATTCCTTGAATGGCGAACCGAAATTGATACTCAAACATTTATGCGCTGATAGATTGATTGATGATGTAATTGGAGCTAAGCTGGCTTGTATAGAACGAAATAGCATTGTAAATCATATGCAATATACTATATAGGCATAAATGTATGTATGTGCACTTGTATGTAGTATGTACATCAAAATGGCACTATTTTCATGAAATTCATGTTATTGATTTGATTAAATATTTAGCAGCATTCTTTTCGGGCCATTAATAATTGACGCCTGCCGAAGTAACGGCACAGACACCGACATACAACTGTGTCAGCAGCGATTGACCGCACATAAAACGTATACGAGCTATATACTCACTAATACATGCTCATAAATAAACACCAAAATGAGGTAATTTGCAGCGGAAGTGCATGCACGTCGTCAGAAAAAAGTATTTCCATTACAACTGACAAYTACACTACAACTACAACTACAAATGCAAACGTGCTATTCATATTAACCATTAAATAATTGAGCAAGTGCAATTAGGAAGGTTAAATATGTCGATGTGTGTGTGTTTGGATGAGAAAAATGCATTTTCAACAAACAAAGCATACTTTTAGGCCTACTGTAAAGCCTACTCAGTTGTGTGCGTGCGCTTTGGAGAGCGCGTACTTTCATTATTAATGATTGCAGACCGCAGCAATGTGAGTTGTTGATGCAGGCGGTACAGGCTCATGTGGTGATAAAGTAATTAAGCACATTAATCTTTCAAATATTAATTACTTTGTCAAATTATTTGCAATTGCATACGCTTTCACGTACATAGTGAGAGGAAAAATATTTCTTCTAATTTAAGTTAGGTTTCACCAGCCTCCTGTCATGCCATACAAAGACCTACAGATCTTTAGTATTGACAGATGGAGGTTTTGTTTAATTTGGAGCGAAGTATTCGACCTGTACGATGCGTACTTTATTAGCGGCTTGATTTCTAAGTTTGATGCTTCGTCTCGTCCTTTAGACTGCGAGGGTCTTAGATGTTTAAATGAGTTCTAAATAGTGCTGGACAGTCGCATAACAGCTATTCTAGATTTTCTCCCAAGCATAGTATTTCTCTACACTTTCTGCATGTAACGTCGTGACTTATGCCCATCCAGCTCGCATCTGATGTCAGTAGGCTGTGACCTGTTCATATAGATGTTGTAAGTTTTACAAGTGAGCCATATACTCCTTCCCCATCTATCTTCGTATAGTGTGATATGGAACCTAACCTTCACTCCCAAATAGAGCACGTGAGTATCTACTTTGTCCACCTGCCCCTGCTTATTGAGCTATGTACGAAGGTCCTTGTAGTTGTTCACTTAACGCCGCCAATCTTGCAGCTAATTTGGCTGCAGCGCTTTACCCTGCAATGTCGATTGATGGTAGTTTGAGTAGCATTTCAGGCGCGGCCGTGGTCCTCAGCGCGTTTGTTATGTAGATAAGAGCGAGTCGTTGTATCCTTCCAATGATTTTCTCTATGAAATTTTGACTAGTGAAATGTAACAGCAATACACGAGGCCAGCATCGTTTTATATGCATATATATGTAAGGCATACTGGCATTTTTCACTCTCTCCTCCAAGTTGAGTTTCTGTGTCTCCTACTTTCTTTTCGACATTCACCTCTATGTTGGCTGATATGGCTCATTGTATRATCCAAGAGCTCTCTCCGTTGTCCATCACGTTACTGGCTTTGTCTAGAAACTTCTTCGTCAGTAGTATAGCTATTTCTTTTACTATGATATAATTTGTACGTAAAATCAACAAATTATATTTTTGAACTACTAGCTGTTTGGTTGATTAGGGTGCTGTGGCAAATGAAGCGCAATTTGCTATGGATCCGAAAGTCATTGCAATTTAGCCAATCAATGRCATTAGAAAACTCATGCAGAAAGTAAATGATTCATAATCCATAGAATGTTTCAAACGTCAAACTCTACTTGGACTGTTTCAACTGGCTATGTCACTCTCTCAAGATCCTGAAAAACTAACATTTCCAAATACCTTTACCTAAAGTCGTGGATTATGTAGTACTAATGTTATTCGAGTTGCTTTAATGTTTATTCGTTGCTTTTCAGTAGTTTTCCACAGACCCTATCAATGTTCATCACTAGCGCAGAATAAGAGAACATATTCACTCATACCTTCCAGTGCATTTTTATCCCCGAGGGTTTCCTGCTTATCCACATTGCCAACACTCAGGCAACTTCGATAGCGATCGCCTATTGGAAGCTATTCCTCCACCTTAACCTTCAAACCTAAGGCCCACAAATACCCCCAAAAATGTAATCTCCGCTAAGTTATGTAGAGCTCAACGAAAAATTTCCTTCTAAAAAAAATTCTTAAAATAAAAAAACAAGTTTTTGTTAATTACTCAAATGCTATGGAAATTATGCCAATTTACACGAAATTATTAAAATATAATTCGACGGCATAAACATTAAGAGGCARTTAATATTATTGATTATCCAAAATTGAATTCAGATTGTAAATTCGTTTTTAAAATGTGTATAAATAACCGAATATATTTTTTCCGCACAAAATCTGCCTTACAAAACTTGTTTCGTGSCATTTTTTGAGTTTGACAGCGAAGATTTTCTGCCGTTACGGGTTTGGCGACACTTTGAGGCTACCATGAATTGCTTTGCACATTTTTTGTAGAGYAGAGCATTATTCACACCAAGCCGTTACGCGTAGATGTAGCTTGTGTGTAGCGTAATGTGTCCTTGGTCCCGCAGAGGTTCAAGCAACTGCCAGTAAAAWTGCATAGATCACATCAGCCCTCGCTTGAATGAAGAGCGAACGCTTTCTAAATGCATTCACATGCTAAAAACGAAATCAAACTCGCTTATTTACAAAAATTAGAGTTGACAAAAACAAAAAACCGTTGAAATTAGCGAGCAAAGAAGCAGGGTGCTAAATGACAAACGACTCTGCATGTGCACCATCTGAACTGATTAGCGTGTATGTTAATTGATTTTTAATGAGAATTTTACATTTAATTGGTTGTAAAAGCGATTAATTTTCCATAAAAGTCGCGCTTGGCTTTCGAAAATCGCGCGCACTTTCACTTTCGCACGAAAGCTGTGCAGCGGCGAAAATCGCTGAAATCGAAGTGAAATTCGAAAGCAATAAATCGCTATTTCGCAGTGCAATGAGCGCACACACAGCTGCTTACCCAATCACAAAGGCATCTAAATGTGAAACAATGTCTAAACTGAAGAGAAACAAATTCAAGAAAAAATACGATTTTTGTTTTGGAATTATTAATTCATTTTTAATACAGCAATTGACGCAGTTCGCATGCAACTTGTTTTAAAATTAATGCGACTTTCGGTAGACCGTGCAAGATTGTCAACGAGCAGCATTCATGTTCTTTCGACTGCGCTTCTTGCTGGCTAGCTGGAGCGGCTAAAGAAATAGTCAACAACAGCCTGGCAAAAAATTACAAGATTCACTAACTGCAAATGAATTGAAATTAATTATACGCCGAACTCCAAGCGAAACGAGAAATTGAGGTGTTTTGAGTTTTGCTACAAAATTAGCACTTGAACGACAGCTTCGATTGGTTTTCTGCCAAAAGTGCTTAACCCTTGTCTATTAATGCATACTTAGGCATTGAGATATGAAGAAKAGGTATAATGAAATATGAAAATATACACAAATCTGATTATATTCAACAAACGTTTTGTTTGCAATGTAGGTATGACCCGAAATATGCGCATCAACCCTCAGAAAATGTGTGAAGGTGTCGGTGCGTCCACATAAAGACTATAACAACTCCTGTCAGAAAAATAYTTTTTAGAGCCAAATAAATTTCGACTACCGTTACGTTCGTCCCACTTCTGACATTGCGGGGTTCTCGACCTCAMCCTGTTGTCAAGGTGGTAAGGTGAAGTACATCCTCATACTCGATAGACAGTTATCATAGAAACCCTATGTTAAAGAGAAGGTGGAAAAAGCACTGGTTATCTTATAATGTTGTAAAGAAGCCAATGGAAACAGTACGATCTCTGGCCAAGCAATGAGCTTTGGCTTCACGAAGCCGTATTTGCACTGCTAGCCATACTAGCTAAACAGCTAGAATGTATTCACTTAATGCTATTGCTATATGTAGGACAGCTTCAGTGACGGAAGAGAGGCCCAATGAGTTGTTTCATGGATTGATCGAAATTGAAGGTGAAGGTTGGTAAGAAAATATTTTGTCGAGTGCTCCCAATCAGACTCGTAGACCACTTTAGTGTCTTTCTAACAGGAGTGACAACCATAAAGGTAGGAGCGGATGTACTACTCCGAAGTGCGGTCTCTTTTAGGGGGGTATGTATGCACTCAGATAATAGAGCTGCTAAAAAAGTCTTGAGCCGGCTAACAGTGAGCTTAGAGCTAGTCAAGGAGTGCATGACCTCACTAGCTCATAAAGCTACTTCCTTTTTAAACTAGTATGGGTGCCTAGTCACAGCGGTATCGTCGGAAATAATAGAGAGGATGAGCTTGCAAGAAAAGGTAGACATACCCAACTTCCACCAGGATGGGAACGAGCAGCGGCTCACCTGTCTTCGGGAACTCGGCCGCTGGATCTGTGCGATTCAGACAAGCTCATCCAACTTTGGTCAGCAACCAGTACTTGTGTGGTTGCGAAAGTTTTCTGAGCCAGAGTGGAACGGAAGAGGTCCATRGAACTGCTAGCTCTTTGCAAGTTTCACATTGCAGCAATCGGCACTGTTCCATATGCGCTAAAAGATAGGTTGGGACCATTCAGACACTTTCTCCTGAACTGTCCAGTCAGGTTACGGTTGTTATACTTTTTACGAATCCGCTGGATTGGCTGCAATTGATATTAGCTTGCTCAATAAATTTGTTGCAGGTGCTAGATTCTAGCCGTTTTGTTGATATGCGACGGTATTTTTGATCCGTAACCAGGAGCTCTGGACAATAAACAAGCGTCTCTAGCAGTCCAAAAAGAATTTTTACTCGATGCACCAGAAATCAGCCCATTTACCTAACCTAACGTAATGTGCGTTAATCTAATACGCGTTAACCAATCAAACCGGTTGGTACATGCTACCCACCTTGCTCTTCTAAGTATTAATAACCGCGCCTAAACTGCATTATCTGTCATCAATGAAACGAGATGACATTTTTTGTTTTATAAAAAATATTCTGTAATACTGGTAAGGGCGCTCGAATACGAGATCCAATTTGTGCACTCGAATGCACTCATAAACCAATCATTTCCAGATTTATTTCAATTTTAATTAATATTTTCCGCGTTACCTACCTGAAACACCTTCTTCTTGCACTTCAAAATTGCGATTTTTATGACAACAACAATAACTGGTTCGTATTGTAACTTTTTTGCTTCTGAAAGTGGAAAAATCTATACTCTTGTATAGTGTATTAAGTCGGATCCACACACACACACACACATATATATGCGTATACATGTGCACACATTTGCACTAGAAGCCGTGCTGTCGTCTCTAATTCGCGGTATAAAAGCAAATGCAGCATTGTTTGAAGGCTTTAGTAGATACATCAAACAAACGCCGAGAGCAATAACAACATCAAACACATCAGAAAGCCAACGAGCGAACACACAGCAACACACAGCAACGCACAATGCAGGGATATACGAGATTGGTGATTATTACAGCACGAACTTTAATTTAATGGGTTTCAGTTAGGCAGCACCGTTGCAAAATTTCGATTTACAGTTAACTTTGGCGCTGCCGCTGTTGATGCTAGCGGGTGCAGTCACGTGTGCTGGACCTAAATCCAGTMAGACGGCGAACGTCGCCAAAGGCAGCGACGAGAATGACGGTTCCTATGTGGCGGATTTAAGTGGAAGTTATGTGGCTGACAGTTCGGGACAGTATGTGGAAGACAATGCAGGTGCTTATCATCCAAACAGCGCGGAGGGGAAGTGGGTGCCCGATAGCCTGGGTGTTTATCATGACGACCTCATGTGGCGCTACGTACCGGATGCTAGCGGTGCCTGGGCGCCCGACAATAGTGGCAGTTATGATCCGGCGCTGGGTGAGTGATAGCAAACGGCCAAAGTTTCCGTTTAAAGTGGCTATGTAGTAGTGTCAGTAATATTRGCATCGCGTGTMTACATGTATATGTGTGTGTGGTTGCTTGATAGCAACTGTAAATTTGTATTTGTCGAGTCCTGAAGTGTAAATTGCTGAAACTTTGTGGTGAGCTTCTACTTTATTTATTTTAGAGATGAAAGGGGTCTATCATGCGGACGGGTCCGGCGTTTACAAGGTAGATAATAGCGGGGCGTATTCGAAGGAATATGAGAAAATCGCTGGCCATTAAAAATAAGTCGAATTGGTCTGCCTTTCTTGGGGAAGTCTTCAAACACCAATGATGATCCACAACTGCCTTTAGAAAATATTCAAATGTTGCATGTAAAATCTAACATTAATAAAATTTTGTATATACATATAAGTATGTGTGCATATCCACCTACACGAATTCAAACAAACGACAAATTATTTATTTCTAAACAAAACCAAGGTGTTGTTGTTGTTCTTGTTGTAACGATTATCCAGGCCATGTTTGGRGTGAAGTTACTTCACGCCTGAAAACAACAATTCCCACAACAGTTACAGCAGCCGGTTCTACGATACCGAAATTGTTTCGGGTATTATCCCACCAAGGRCCGTTGTTTCCAGGGTCTAAACCTKTTTGGACCGGTAAGTAATACAAGGTTTATCCGGAACGTAATAGGACTGATTTTCTTCCGTCGCGACTGTACTTCGGAGCGTGCGCGCATCGACTGGATTCGGTAGAGGACGTTCTTAGCTGACGGTTGCAGATGAATGAAGTGAAAACGATGCTCACTGCCTTTTTGACATCAAAGACATCGTCCAACATTAATTTTTTCCTCCTRGAAAAACCGTCAACGCCAAGTTTTACGTGGAAATCGGGGAAGAGACTCAAACAACGGGTCCATCGGTCCGACAGGACATCGCAGTTGCACATGGAAGTTGCACCACGACGACGCATCGGCTGATACCGAATTTCCTGTGAACAGCTATCTAACCAAGGTCGGCATCCCAACGCTTCTGCAGCCGCTCTACTGCTCAGATGTGGCCCCCGGACTTTTTTGTTTCCTTACCTGAAAAAGCCGATGAAAGACAAGCGACAGAAGGGATCCAAGCAGCATAAGGCTTTCCGGAGAAGGCCTTCCGTGGCGTATTCAATGTTTGGAAATCGCGTTGTCAGCGCTGCATCGACTAGAAAGGAGGAGCTTATTTTGAAAGTTTTAAAGAATTGTAACGATTGGTTCAATAAATTCTTTTAAAACGACTCAGTCCTCTTACTTTCCGGACTCTTCTTGATTGGCGTAGTCACCGCTTACGCGATTATAGCCGAGTTAACAACCGCGCGCCYGTCGTTTCTTCTTTTCGCTACGTGGCACCAATTAGATATTCCAAGTGAAAACAGGTCCTTCTCCACTTTCCGGACAGTCCCCCTAAAACCACGGTGTACTTTCTGCAACCTTGCTTGGCATGAATAAGTAGACATTTTTTAAATTCAGTAATTTTTTATTGGTTTCTTTTATTGATTACATATTAATATTGAATTAAATAAGCAAATGTGCACCAATGTGTGAATACAGGAGAGCAGCAGGAGTTTACTTGGATGGGAAATTGTTTAGCGCGCGCCATTGGAGAGATTGTTCTGTGCACATATTCCATGCGTTTGCTTCGCCAATGAACTGAGTTAGATAGAAAGTGTTGCATTAGGGTGGTGTGTGCAAGTGTTTAACGGTAAATGACTTCAATTCAAGTAGTTCATGCTGCCAGATGGTGCCTCGGGTTTTTTCGCCGGATTTGTGCGATGACTGGCGCCATACTGTAGCACGTCTGCATTGTGAGSGTGTATTGGTGAGTCGTGAAGGATGTGCGAAACCGAAAAATAAATAAAAGCAAAAAAAGTTAAATTAGACTTAAATACATTGCACAGCGTMAGTTAGTACAGAAGAGGCAACACAATTTGCATTTCAGCTTTACTAGCTTTGCTAGTTTAGCGTTAAGGGATTTGCCAATGCATTACACGGAACTGTTTTTTAAACCACAAAGTTTGTATTCATTTAAATAAAGTTCATCTAAGACTTTTTGAAAAATCACACGCAAATGTGAGTGGTGAGTGTGTAAGAAACAGGCGAGATAAGAGCGCGCGCAAAGGAAATGAAAATGAACGTAATCACCGCACGGCTAGGTAAACAATTAAAAACTTTCTACCATCAGCATAACAAAATTAAAATGAAGCCGCTTAATTAAATGAAACTGTGTGACGTGCTGCTGTCAAGCYATCCCTCAGGTTGTCTCCATGCACGCGCTACAACCTGTCTAGTCGTCTCGAAGGCTCTTGTCAAGCCATTAAATGAAGCTGGTGCACACAATTGACGAACGCTTGACCGTTAGGCGAACAAGTTGTTAGTATGGCAAAAAGTTGATTTTGATGAAAGCTTGTTGTGCTGCCCCTCCGCGGCAGCAGCAGTGACTGCCAAACCTATTCTCTGTCAAAACTTTGAGTGAATGCCTTCAACCACGTGCTGGTGAGGGAGCTCGTGCTTGCAGCCGCCRTAGTAACATTGGCAACTCCTCTCTCGCTCTCACCACCATTACTTTCGACGACGGCAGCGCCGCCAACTGCATCTGTGGACGTTGTGGCCTTGCCTGTTAACTTACCCATGGGTGCGTGATGAAGACGTGAACCTTTCGTCTTGAAGGGCTTCCGACGCAGATCCAAGCTGGATGATTCGCGCGTATCGATTTGCATAGAATCATCGTTGTCGCTGATTTGTGTCTTCAAAACTTTCTTCAAATTAATTATCTGCAAATAAAATAACAAAACGCGGCTACAGTCAGTGAGTGCTGCAAGTTAAATTCGTGTGATTCGCGTGTTTGTATTTGCATAAATGCTTGCATAATTTACATAAACCCAAGACAAATAAAAATATTTATTAATAATTTCGTGAAATAAGAATGTACCTCCTGTTCGATGTGGTCCTTGTTCTTCAGACCGCGCGCCTTCTCCGAGTTGGCGCGTGTTATCTGCATGTCAATGCAATTGGAGATGGCATCACACGACTCCACCCACTGCGATAGGGTTTGGGCGATCTTGGAGGTATAGCCAGGTGGTATGTCACGGCCCTGAGCATAATCGATTTCGAGAAAACGATTGTTTTGGAAAAGTTTGCCGTGTATAATATCTGTGAGGGATAGCAAAAACAAAATTTTAATAATCTGTACTATAATTATATAGTTATTTTATATATCAAGTGACTTGATTGTGGTGGACAGATCTTCTGTATATACAGAGAATGTTATTTAACCTGAAAAGCGAAAAGCGAACTCCTGGGTGTCTCTCAAAAGCAAAAGTTTCAGGGTACAGGGCTGAAGATAAGGTCGAGGTGAGGTGGAAACATCCAGACACTTTCTCTGCTATTATTCAGAACTTAAAGAAATATCACTGCAGTCTTACCTCCAGGATACATACATAAAAACCAACCGGAGTTCTAAGCTGTCTTAGTGAGAGCCCCGTTACGACAGACCTCTTAACTTAACCTACTAAGCGGCTGACTCTTCTAAGCTTCTTCGAACTCTTTACCTAACCTATTAAGCCGCTAACTTTCCTGAGTTTATTCACCAGCGTATCCCTTTTCTTCTTCCTCTTAGTTGTGGCCATGCCTAGACTACTCATGTGATACAATGTCAGCACCACCCCAGTTGWTGAAATKAAYGATGATGCAATACGCCAAGAATAACTTCGAAGTTGCAATAACCGTCGCCGCGCACAACGGAGAAGCTTTCCCTACATTTGCAGCGAAGCGATGAGTGAAAACAAAGGCTGCAATGCTTGAATTTGAGCACACGCCGCAGGCAGTCGATTTGAAACAGGATCATTGCACGCTGTCGCTCAAGAGATTCATCGCTGAATGCATGCTGCGCTGTGTAATATCGATTATGGCGGTGTTGCAGTAGTGCAAGCAGCCAAAMGCTTTTTGATATATRTRTATGTAGGTGCAAGGCGTGCCTCGGATTTTGGAAAACGTTGTAGCAAATTATTGAAATATTAAGTTTTGTGGGAAACATTCTGAAATTTGACAGTTTGCTTGCTTGGCTTCTTAAGTGCGAAGAAATTCAAATTTYCTTTCACATTGAMATTTCGTGGCAAAACCAGATTTCRTATTGCGTTAACAGTTKCTAAAGGCAATACAAAAATGGAAAATGTTATTTAGCAAATAGTCGAAAGTAGGCAATTCAGGATTATTTAGAGCGTGAATTTCGTGCAGGAGAGCTATACTTTTTTGCTGTTTTATTAAACGGAATTTGAACTTAATTTGTAACAGCAAAGCAAAGAGAATTYTTTTACGAGAAGGAAACAAAGTTAATTTTCACATATTTTTGCCAMGCCTAMTATTTACTGGGTGTGTGGAATGTAAGAAAATCATTAAGTATTTTTCCTTTAGCTTTTAACCACTTTAGTGCTCCAACTTTAAGACCAACTTAAGTTCCCCCAAACACCAGCGAAGTAAAGTTTGGGAAAACAGAAAGCGGGAAATGCGGCAAACAGCTGGCGAACAATGACCAGCTTAAGCTCAATTTTAGCGCTTAATATCGGCTTCGAGCAACAAATGACTCAGCGACAACAACAATGTCAGCAACATTGAGTTAAGTCATAAAACGTACAGTGCAACGGCATTGCGAAATAAATGCACAAAAAGAACAATTGGTAGGAAAAGGCGCAGCTGAAGATAGGGCAAGATTTAATCCTCAAAGCATAAATAAATATATTTTTTTTTACCGTTAGCTGTAGCTTTCAGCACACTGTGCGGCGTGGTCTTCGAGCATCAACATGCGACAAGTTGCACCCCTGCCAACTTTGATTCCTGACTTCGCTGTGCGCACGAASAAGTCAAGCGGCTTTAAGTATTACCGTATTAGCAACGACGGCTTAGAGAATTCCGACCGTCAAACGATGCTGCAGGTCCTTAGCGCCGGCCCAATGACTCATTTGCTAAATTTGCTAATGAATTTATGCCGGAATGAGCGGAATAACGGTATTATGTATAACAATTGCATGTTTTTGCGAATTTGCATTGTTTATTAAAGCTCTTGCCGTTTCGGCACTACTTCGTTATTTACATAAAAAGCAAATAATTCAGATCTGAAATATGTGCAAGCGCTGGCCTTCGAAAGTGAAATAAATATGTAGTGTATAGAGTAAAACGTTGGAGTAATGCCGCGCTGCTTCAAGTGGGGCGAGAGGCAGTTTAATAACTCGAAAGTGAATGTGTGTGTGTGTGTGACACAATTTGCGTGACATCGTTGAGCTGTAAGCCAACTTCCGACGCTTATAGAGTTATTGTCACAAAGTTAATAGCCACCAAATGCAAACATACATACATACATATGTACTTCATACGGTATATG